AAAAATTTTGGAGTATTTGGGGTTGGTTTGTTTGGTGGTTTTTTTCACTTCTAGCTTTGAGGCATTAAGGTGCAAATTTTTGGTCTTCTCTTTCTGGTAAAGGGGGCTGGAAAAGAGGTTTTTCTCTCCATCTCTTTGCTGATGCATGGCCATGGTCCCAGCACCCACCCTAGCTTTGTGGATGCTCTGCACCCCTTCGGAGTGGAGACCAGGGCTCTGCTCCTCACCACAGGCAGGCACCTCTTCATTCCCCTCCCAGCTGGCAAATGCCATCTCTAACTCCACCTGTTTGGATGTGTATGGGGATTTTTTCCCCCCTCCATAACGAAAAGTCCTTTCGCCCTGTGCCCAGCGGTGGCTGCAGGATCTGGCCCAAGGGCAGCGCTTACCTGTGAAAGCATCCCAGGGGATGCTCCCAGCACTGCTGGCCACCACAATGTTTGTATGTTTGAAAAACTCCCATAACAGGAGTTTTAACCTCTCTAACGTGACGGTGTCCGCTGGCATTTTAGTCTCAATCTGTTTTTTTAAATACCCGCTCTAACAGGGAGGCTCTGTCATGTGTTGGGGCTCTAGCAAGGTTAAAGCAAGATGCAGAATAAACGACCAAGCCCTGAGCAGACCCATCTGCCTGTCCCCCTCCAGCTCTGCCTTCCAGCTGCTCCTCCCACATCAGGAGGTCGAGTCCTGCCTGGAGAGGACATCAGGCCTTTCCCTAATCATCGGGGAAGGGGGAAACTGAGGCAAGGGCTGACGATGCCCTTCCCCGCAGCGTGATGCCCACCGGCACGAGCACACGGGATATAATCCATGGCACAGAGGTTACTTCTCCCATTGGCCTCTCTGCCTCCCCTGGGAGGCTGCTCACCCTGTTACGTGACTGGCTGGTGGGGAAACTCTGACTTTCAGCCCAGATTTGCATCTGGGGCAGTGGGTGAGCAGAGAAACTTGAGCTGCTGGGACAGTAGGGTGTGAGATGTGGATGCTGCTCTGCAGAGATGTGCCATGGTCCCCAGAGCCATGGGGATGGGAGAGAAGCCCCTGCCTGTTCCAGTCCCCTGCCCCGCTTTATTTGCACTTTCTTGCAGGCAGGTAAACTGAGGCATGCAATGACTTATCCCCTGTGCATGCCACCCAGGCATGCGGCCATGTCTGCAGCTCCCTGCCCCTCGACAACACTGAATATGTTTTTCTTGGCCAAACTCCATCTCCACGGCTTGGATAGGGAGCACGGGATCATCTTCGCCCGGGTTGGGTAGGGTGAGCACTCCTGGGGGCCTGTCTGCACTGCTGGGTCTCTGTGGAGAAGCTCGAGGCGAGTGTGAATCCCAAAGTGCCAGTTAGCAACGTCCTGCTACCGGGAGGCCACTGGGGAGGTGTTTAACAGACATAGTGGCAGTCCCTGTGCCAAGCGCTTGCTTGAGGAAGGACAGGAAAAAAAAAAAAGTCCTATTTTGCAGCTCTTCGGAGAGCCAAGTCCCAGGGAGGGGAGTGAGCTCTGAAATGCGCCTTTGTGGAAGGTGAGAAGAGCTTGAAACAGTTTTGCATGTTAAGCTGCAATAGGATTATGGAGCAGAGCAAATTAAATCAATTCTGTAATGACTGGGGGAAGTTCCTGCTGACGGTGGCAGCTCTGGAGTTCTGGGAAGGAAATGGTGGATGGAGCCGGGGGGCTGAGATCCATCATGAGCATCCATGGATGGTGGCCTGGGGTCCGCAGGCAGCGTACCGGCCAGAGCAGGATTTTCCTGAGGCTGCCTGCATCACCATGGCAATGTGCAATCCCACGGGAATTAATGAGTCTGGAGTGCACTGTGAATCCTTTGGGTGGAAAAGAGATCGACCTGGCCAGGTAGACCAGGGAGCTGGAGGAATGCAGGCGGCAGAACTGGGGGTGCAGGTGCTCCAGCTGCCTGAGCCCTGCCTGTCCCTGCCTGCCAGCCCAGCTGTTTTTTCTCCATCCCACACAGGTTGTCTCCGTTGCCTCCCCGGGGTTAGCAGGATGCTCTCAGTAGGAGGATGAAGGGCACCATAGGTGTGTGATTTCTTGGTGAGCAGGTGTCATGGTGCTCTGGGCTGTGGCACAGGACTCTCCCCAGACTCCTGAGTACCAAGGGGGCATCTGTAGAGCCTGGCTTTGACTTGGCTTTTTCCCTTTGCTGGCTCACTCAGGCTTGGGGAACCTCCTGCCCCACTCCCCCATCTGCTGATGGCATCACTTCCAGCCAAGTGCTCCACCAGCTCTGGACAAACCCGCAGCCATGTGGCAAAGAGCCAGGCTTTGAACCACTGTGGATTCTGTAGGAAGAAAACATGGTGGTCCCTGGGGGTGCCTAGATGTTGGGGGGACCTGCCATCCTAGGGGAACCCCAAGAAGCCACCTCAGTTGCCTGATGCAATCCCAGCCGATGAGTGACAGAGCCTTGCTGGGCTCATTTGTGCCTCTTCAGCCAATGTTTTCTATGCAGCAGGAGGTGGGGACTTTTGTTTGTGTGTGTGGTTTTTTTCTCCTTCATCTCCCCCGAGGTAAAAAGCAGAGCGTGCTGGGAGATGAGGTGTTAGCAACAATTTACACTGGGAGGTTTGTTAGTTTTCATGCCAGCCTTGGCTTGGGGATGTTTATTGTGTAGTGGGGTAAGATCTGGCACTAATCCATTGAAGAATTGGGATAGAAAATGACGGTGGAGACAGGAGGAGAGATGCTGTTTGAAGAGCTGAGCCTGGTCCAGGGCACCTGGACCTGGTGGTTCGTTATATTCCCTGAGTGATGATTAAGCACTCAGGAGCATATGCGTCCGAAGGCAGGTTTGGGGATGCGCCTGCACCCAGCCTGGCTCCTCGCAGCGTTGCCTGCGTTGGCAGCGGAGAATCAATACAAAGCCAGAATAATTGCTGCTCCTCGGTAAATGTTAATGATTATTTTACTTGCATAAAATAACCAGCCTATTAAATCAAAATGCACTGGGGTTTAGGCAGCTGTTATTCAGGGGCTTAATTAATCTGAGAAAGAATGAAGTTACAGAAAATAACTGGCTGCTGCTTGCCTGAGCTCAGATCATGTCTTGCAAGAGACATCTCCACTGGTTGTGAGCATGAGTCCCCCCGGTTTCCACCAGCATCCTGCACCCCCAAACACCAGCCGTGCCATGGCACTGCCTTCTAGCTCAGCCTCCTCGCTTTTGCCTTGGGCATCTTCACCTCAAGCAGCTTTGGAAGTCTCCAGCATCAGTCCTTGGGCAAAATCTTGGCTGGGACTGACCATGCTGGGATATCGAGGTCTTTTCCAAAAGCAGCAGGTCCCGGCGACACTGAGATGCTGTCTGGAGCAGCTTTCCAACAGATTTATTTTTAACTCACAGCCTTGGATCGAAGAGTGGAAAATCAGTGATATTTTGTAGTGGGAAAAGAATTGTGGAGTCTTTAAGGTTCAGAAACAATGTTTTCATTCCAACTTTATGTGCGAGTTAATGTTATTTCAACTGTTTATAGTATCACTAAATCATCTGTTGGGATGAGTTATTAAGGTTTTCTATCTAAAACACCAGAAAAGTGCTTTCAAGGGGTGATTAATTGAAAATATCCCATGGAAAATATCATAGAAATAATCGACGCTTTTCTTGCGATATGTTCTCAGTTTAAATGTGTTTTCCTGGAGAAAACAGCTTTCAGCCCCTGACAGACTGCTGACCCTGGCTGCTTCCTTCAAGCTTTCCAACGCAGCCAGATTCAGCATCTCCCTTGGAGGACACACCCCGGGTCACTGTCACTCTTGCATGATGCCATTGCTCCCTCCTGGCAAGGCCAGTCTCCTGCCCACCCTGTCCTCTCCCCTTGCCCTTGCAGCATGCAGGACTGCGGCTGGGAGCAGGGGATTTGGCTTCCCAAAGCTGCTTCACTGGGCTGAAGTGCAAACAGACCTTTGGGATGTTGGCTTTCTGGTTTTGCTGTTCGTTTTGCAAGTGGAATGGGCAGGGGATGGGATGCAGAGACAAGAACCTGTGCTTAGTGCCATGGGATGGGATGGCAAGCTGGTGCTTGTGCTCGCCTGCACGACCCCACCCCATTCTCCTGGCTGCTTTCACACTGATTCAATCTTCCTTTTCCTCTTTAACTGCCCACCTGTTGGGATGTGGAACAGTCTGGTCCCTTGTGTCCTTGCTGATGCTCACTGCATGAATCCTTTCCCCTGCCTTGGCCCTATCTCGTGCCCCAGAGTTGTGCTGGAGGCTGCTGGGTGGCCATGGACATCTATGTCAGGTGATGAAATCGCCTCCATCCCCAGCTTGCCATGCCAGGCTTCCCTGCAGCAGGAGCCTTCTCTTCTGAACCCGTGCGGGTGGTGCTGGGGGCTGCAGCTGGACTCGGTGGGAGGTGACATGTGGGCTCCGGGGGCTGCGATGCTTTCCTGGGGTTCGCTTTGCCTCTGCAGTTGCTCAGCTCTGCTCTCTGTGCACGCTGCAAGTGAGCTTTACAAATTAAAAGACTTTACCACCTAGCTTTGTCCCCCATCACCACCAGCCCAAGCTCCAGGCACGAACCAAGCCTGCGTCCCAGCTGCCTTAGAAACCAACAAATTTAAGCTTTATTAATTTCCTTTCTGATTCCCTCAGGGAAAACTCTTGAGCTTTTGTCTACAGCCAGGAGGGGTAGAAGCATCCACAGCCTTCAGTCGCTTCCACCACCCAGACTGGGGCAGATGTCTCCCAGCCAGGGCTGCTGGGCTGTGGGGAGATGCTCTGACCCTCTGCAAAGTTCTATAGACAGCGGATTCCGGGACCTGAGCTGGGTTTTCTCCCCACGCCTGGACTGAGCTCCCCAGGAGCTCCTCTGTGTTTTCAGAGGCAGCTCTTCCCTCCCCCCTGCACTGTGGCCCATGCCATGAGGCCATTTAATTCCTCCTTCCCCACAACACCCCCAGGGAGGCAGACCCCAGAGCCGGTTCGGGTGGATGTGCTGGAGGACACCACCCATCGCCCCGCTCCAGCAATGGATGCGTCGCCATGGAGGAGGCGGTTTCCATGGCAACTGTTGCCATGCTGATGGCGACCAGAGAAGGGCTTCAGAGCATCGCAGGGAGGTTCACCAGCCTCTCCCCGTGCTTAAAGATGGATCCCTTCCTCCCGGTGTGAAAGCCAGACGCTCAGCAGTGAATATCACTTTCGCAATGGGCTTAATGTTCAGGACAGGTTTTGAGAATTTTAAGAGTCTGCGAAAGCCCTGCCATGGAGTGGGAACACCCTAAAAAATAACAACACCTTAATCCTCCCTGCCTAGGGAAGGAGGGATGTGCAAGCATACAGGGAATTTAGGAAGACCCAAACCAGCTGGTCCCCGTCCCCCAGGACACGTACAGAGATTTGGAGGGGTTTATAGGAGCATGTTGCTGACGGGCAGGTCCCCTCTGTCCCTTTGTTTTTAAGTACCCAAATCCTCTGGTATACACAGAGGCTGCTTGTAGGAGGGCTGAGTGGGACCCTTTGCCTGAGCTTTACATTTTTTCACCTGCAGAATGGTGTCACCCGCCTTGATAAAGGGATTGAAGAGGGAGGGATGGGGCATCTGCTGTGCTGGGGGGGTTAGATGTGCATAGATAGTGCATCTCCCTGCTCAGCTCTGATGGTGGCAGGCCAAAGGGCCTGAGCTCTCTCTTGCTTTCCAAGGCTCTTAGTGCAGCGATTTGAGCTGTCACAGCCCCTCCGCTGCCATTCCTGGCCAGTCCAGTCTAGCTGCAGAGTGGAGGCATCAAAGGGGATGGCGAGTGGCTGTCATCATTGCCTGCCGATCTCGCTCAGCCCCATGGTGGCTGTGGGAGCAAAAGGGTCCTCTGGGATCAGATAGGGGCTCTTACCCAAGCTTGATGTAGTGGCCATGTCACCTCCAGAGCTGCTGATATCCAAATCTTTCTGGCTGGCACTTGTTTTGAGTCATTTAGAGCACTGGAGGAACATTTAATGAAACTTGAATTTCTGGCCCTACCCTATGGAGACTACTTTGCATTGGTGCTTGCTTTTATAGCAGTAGATCTGTGACCTTTTTTGGACACTGAAGGAGTAGAAATAGGGCAGGCAGTTGGGGTCTGGATGATGCCAGAGCTGGCTCCTGGCCTGGGCTGCCCCCACAGCTGACATGGCAGTGACCAACCCATGGGCTGAGCCACAGGGACGTGACACGAGCAGTTCCCTTTCTGCAGGACAGTCCTGAGCATGGCCCAGTGCAGAGCCAGCACCTTGCAGGGCACATTTAAACTTTTCCACTCCTGACCACCTCCCATGGACTTGGACATCGCCCAGGGTGGTGAAACCCCTCTGGCTCAGCCAGTGTCTTGGGCTCCAGTGCCTCCAGCAGCTTTGTCTTGGCCCCTGGTTTAATTTCCTTAATGAAGCCCGGCTGGGGGAAGCAGGGCTGAGCTGGTTAGCAAAACCCCCTGCCAAGAGTCATTAGCTGGGAAGTTGTAATTGCATGGATGGGAGCTGCTGTCCCTTGGATTGAACCGGCTAATTGGAGGCCCTCGACATCCCGCTGCAGGCAGGGCAGGGCAGGGGTTGGTGTGGGACAGGGGACACCAGGGCCAGCATGAGCATCGTGCTGAGGTTTCCTCCTGGTCACGAGGAGCCTCTGCCTATCTGGCCCAGCTTTGCATCGGGCACCCAGAGAGGGCTGCACAGAGGACCTGGGAGTCCTGTGAGCATGTCCCCCCATCCAACCACGGGAGGAGACTGATCAAAGGAGGGGATGTGGCTGGCATGGCTCCCAGCCCTAGGCAGGCATGAGATTGTGCCTTGGAAAACCCTCTTTTGGGGCTTGCAGACCTCTCTGGGGCAGCAGCTACATCCCTCCTGCAGTGGGGTCAGGACAGTCCTTGGCCCCATCCCAGGGGACCAGGGGCTGTGGGGGACAGATCCAGCATGCACGGGGGGTTCTGCCAGCGGGCTCCCTCCAACCTTGCTCTGACCACGCGGAGCCTGCTGGGTTGGGGGTAAAGTCTGGATAGAGTTTCTCTTTTTGGGACAAATCCAGCCAGCTGCGTGTTTGCTGCGATGGAGGCTGTGACGGATTGGGAGGCAGCCGCAGGTCGGGAGGTGGGAGCTGCCATCCAGCGTGATTTATGATTTCCCGGGTTGGCAAAATCCCTGTTCCTCTCCCCTTCATCCTGGCCATGCAAGGGGGAGCAGACCCCTCATTGCTGGGGGAAGGCTGGGGGCCGTACGTGAGTGCAGAGCTTGGTGCATGTGGAGTATTAATTATCTAAGCAGCAGTAAATCCAAATAAACACCGACTGTTCCCAAGATTTATTGCATGAGCCTGACCTAATACCATCAGGGCTGCAGCTGGGGCAGCCTGGCTGGGAGGAGGTTTATGTCAGTGCCTCAGAAGTGGAGTGGCATGGGGGAATTTTTGGGAACAACCATGTCCCAAACACCTCGGGAGCACCTGGAGGTATTTCACAAGTCTTTATCAATAAATCTTTGTGAAGCTTGTTGGGCTGGGGCTGTGCTCGCTGCAGTCAGGGGCTCCCCCATACCTGGTCCTGGCTGTGGGGTTATTTAGGGCTTTATGCTGGGCAGAGGCAAATCTAGGATGAAGAATGCTGAAGAGGAGCAAAGGGTTGCCCAGAATCCATTGCTGCTTGCCATGGTTTTGTATTGCCAGCTCACCCTGCACACAGGAGTGACTTGGGAGCAGCCACCAGAGACTTGTGGACAAGCAAGAGAAGGGGAGCTCTCTGCCATCCCATGTTAGGGCCCGTTTCACCTCCCCTGAGCAGCAAGCACTCTGCAGCTTCATCAGTATTGAAGTGCAACCTCAACATGATGCCTGGTTGTGCGGGAGCTGATGTGACATGCACTGAGCTGGCCAGGCATCAGCTGGAGCTGGGCTGCTGGCGAGCTGCCCTGTGCCATGGGCTGCCATAGCCCCTCCATGGTGTAAACCCCACTGATCGCTGCCAATCCTCCGGAATCCACTCAGGGCAAAACCTGTCTGAGAACGTCTCTGCTCTCCTGCAGGCTGGCGTGTGAGGGGCAGGCGTGGGAGAGATGTCTCTCACGTTGGGGGAGTTGACTCCAGAGAGAGAGTTTTGGCCCTGTGAGGTGTTTTATTGCTGTGAAGTTGTTCCTGCTTCACTCAACAGCTCTGGGAGATGGATCCCTGCAGGGCTGTGGCATGGATCCTGCTCCCTCCACCTGCAGGGAGTGATGGTGTTTGCATAGTGCTGAGGGAGTGGATCCAGGGAGGAGACTGACCCAGAGGAGAAGCTCCCAGCTCCAAACATCTGCATCATGTTGGGGAGCCCCGTGCTGCAGGTCGGAGCACAGCATGGGTCAGTGACCTCAGCGGGATGATGGAGCTGGGCGCTGGTGCCTGGGCACTTCTCCCTGACCACGTGCTGAGCAGGGGGGTGCTGGGCTCAGCTGCTATCTAAGTAAAATACGGGGATATTATTCGCATGGCAAGGTTTGATTTTGGATTTGGGGCTGGACAGTTCTAATCGGCATCTACCCATTTGCCTTTGCTGCATCTCTCCAGGCTCTTCTCTTGGGCAAAGCAGATCCAGGACATGCACTGATTCTGCTGAGGCTCTGCACTCTGTGGGATGGATGGATGGATGGATGGATGGATGGATGGATGGATGGATGGATGGAGGCTGGTGTGGCATGCTGGGGCCATGAATTTCCATTTTCATTTCCTTGTCCAAGCATGGGGAGCCGGGGAATCATTGGCTGAAACTGCTCTGTCTGGTTCCAATTTAAGGGAGAAATGGGCTTGATGGAGCTGGGCCATGTGGGTCCTATTATGGCGAGGCTCTGCAGATCACACAGAGAGAATCCAGCCTTTGGGGAGCTCACCCGGGTTAGCTGGCTGAGGTGAGGGTTGGTCTGGGGAGCACCTGCACAGTGGTCTCCTCATTTCTCAGTGAGCTTCAATATTTTTGGTGTAAAAAAGTCAAAAGGCAAATAAGAGCAACTCCAAATGTTTCTTCCACCCCTCAAACCTTGCCTTTTTCCCTTGCCCTCCCATCAGTTTTGGTGTCCTGTCTCATAGTTTATGGGCTCCAGCATGGGTCCCTGCTGTGGGGTGCAGTCCTTCAGGAACAGACTGCCCCAACGTGAGTCCCCACAGAGTCACAAGTGCTGCCAGCAAACCTGCTCCAACGCGGGCTCCTCTCTCCATGGGGCCACAGGCAGTTGCCTGGAGCCTGCTCTAGCACAGGCTTCCCACAGGGTCGCAGCCTCCTTGGGACATCCCCCTGCTCCACTGGTGACCTCCATGGGCGCAGGGGACAGCCTCCCCTCTCACCATGGGCTGCAGGAGAGTCTCTGCTCCGGTGCCTGGAGCACCTCTTCCCCCTTCTTCTTCACTGACCTTGATGTCTTCAGGGTTGTTTCTCTCACATGTTCTCATCCTCGCTTCTGCTGCAATTGCACAGCCTTTCTTCCCCCTTCTTATGTTATCACAGAGGCATTACCGCTGTTGCTGATGGGCTCAGCCTTGGCCAGCAGCAGGTCCATCTTGGCGCTGGCTGGCATTGGCTCCATCGAACATGGGGAAGCTTCTAGCAGCTTCTCACAGAAACCACCCCTGCAGCCCCCCTGCTACCATGCAAACCCAATACAATTTCCAAAGAGGGAAAGCAAACTCCTGCCTTGCCGGGACATGTCCCCCTTGCTCTTGGCTACCTCCTGCCTCCATCCCATCTCTCCTGCTCTCTCCTCTCTCCAGGATGTTTCCCCAGCACCGTGGCCGTTGGGTTTGGCAGGGCAAGGGGCCACGTGATTCCCAATTCCATGTGGATTAATTCCAGTGGACGACACACTTCTTCAGTGAGCTGCTGGTGACCATGTATTTGAAACTCCAGGATGGTGCATTATCTTTGGGGCAAAGACTGAATTTTCCCAGTGATTTGGAAAGTGTGTGGTGTGTTGGAGACTGGCAGGATATAACCAGTGGCTGCAGTGATAGGAGAGAGTGTTGCTATCACTGGAGATAAAGGAAAAGATCCAACCAGAAAAAACTCAGCAGCACTTTCAGGAGAGACACACTTAAAAGTCCAACTCCCCTTGACCTTCCAGAGAGATTTATGTCCCCAGGAGTGTGCTCACGCTCTCACCGTCGGCGTATGACACAAGTGGTACCTCTGCAGCACCCCAGTGAATATATAGGCAGGGCTTGGGCAGCAGGCATCTCCTTGGCTTGGGCACCACGGCAGCAATCAGCTCACAGCCCCTGGGAAGTGCCCTCCCACCTCCCAGCCTTGAGGGCTGCTGGGTTTTCTCTCCCTTGCCAGCTGATGGGCTCCAGGAGAAAAGATGTGGAGGCAAAATGCGAGTTAAGTCCCAGATTTTTGTGTCATGGGATTTTCTGATTTTTCAAAACTCCTTTTTGTTCCAATCTGGAATGAAAACAAAGAAACTCAAAGCTGTTGTGGAGAGGTAAAATGCCTTAATAGGTGAAGGGGACCCTTCAACCCCTTTTTTTTAATTTAAGCACTAACCTGACTTGTTACACCTTGAAACATCTGATGCTATCTTGCAGATCAAAGCCTCCTTGTTTGGGTTGTAATGAAGTGTCAAACCGTTCCCTTGCAACACAAACAGGAGACACTTTGATCTGCAAAACAAGATGTTTAAGAGCCCTACTAGCAAGGGCTCTTCAAGTTTTAGCAGCACTGTAAAGCAGTGGAATATTTGAAGTCTGATATTGTTTCATATTGAGACTTTCCAAGTTAGGGCACCTGATAGTGTGTATTACTGTCACACTTGTACCAGGAATCCCTTGAAAATCATCTGAAACAGGACTATAGGGAGCTGGAGAACCAAACTGATAATTTTTCTAACAGCTTCCAAAAGCAGTTGTTTTTTCCTCCCTTTCCAGAGGGCTTGTTTCCATGGGAAATGTTATCAGAGTCAATGTGAGCTCTCCACAAAATGTCAGCAGTGGCAAACTGATTTGGGGGAAAAAGACATGGTTCTGGGTGGTTCAGCTGGAGAGCACTGCCTGCACTTGGTCTTGCTTTTCCCTGGCCTGTTTTAACCTGTGCGTCATCCCACAAGGGCTGTCTGGGGCTGTCTGTGCAGACACTGGTCTTGATTTTGTCAGGCTGGAACTGCTCACACATCTCTCCCTGCTCGGCTGCAGGCTCAGCGCTGGCGCAACGAGAACTACGAGAGGCCCGTGGACCTGGAGGGCTCTGGGGACGATGACCCCTTTGGGGACGATGAACTGGACGATGTCTACTCGGGCTCTGGCTCAGGGTGTAAGTAGCTGCAGGGTTCCTGGGGAAGAGTCCCCGGGAGCCTGGACATGGGCTTTGGTGGAACTGGAGAGGGCTTTGCCGTGGGATGGGAGGGAGGGGATTACCTTTTATCCATCTCTGGAGCTGTCCTCCTGCCCTCACCTAGACAAAAGCAAAGGGAACTATCCCAGAGTTGGGCTCCAGCGTCTCCATTTCCCATTTCAGTCTCTGGCCCCACGGGCAGGATTAGTCTTTCCCCAGCGCAATGGCACGTGCCATGTTATAGAGGTTACACTGACTCCAGAGAGGGGCTTAGGCCACCACATGGGAATTTGCAGCCCTTGGTTTCTGCTGAGCCTGGAACCAGTCCATGTTCTCGGGTTTTTTGGGTGTGAGGCCAGGTGCCTGGCAGCCCTGGGAGATACTGGGCCAGCAGCAGCTTCACACTTCACTCTTCTCCTCCTCTTCCAGATTTCGAGCAGGAGTCGGGGCTCGAGACAGCAGTGAGCCTCACCACAGACACGTCCATCACGCTCCCCACCACGGCAGCCGTGCTGCCCATCACCTCGGTGCAGCCTGTGGCAACCCCCTTTGAACCATTTCCCGCTGAGGACACCACTCCTGAGCAAACAACCAGCATCTTGTATATCCCCAGGCTGACAGAGGCACCAGTCATCCCCAGTTGGAAAGCAACCACCACCAGTACCACTGCCAGCGATTCCCCTACCACCACGACCACCACGACCACTACCACGGCCACCACCACCACCACTGCGGCCACCACCACCACCAGCACCACCATGGCCACTGCCAAGCCCACCACCATCCGGAGGTTCCTGCCCCCCTTTGTCACCAAGGCAGCCACCACCCGGGCCACCACCCTAGAGACACCCACCACCTCCCTCCTCGAAACCAGCACACCGACAGAGGTGGTCACGTCACGGCTTGTCCCCACCAGCACAGCCAAGCCCAGGTCTCTGCCAAAACCAAGCACATCCAGGACTGCAGAACTCACAGAAAAAAGCACTGCCTTGCCATCCAGTCCTGCCACGCTGCCGCCCACAGAAGCCCCCCAGGTAGGAGGCAGGCGCCCTTCTTGCCTGCTAAAGGGCTTGTGGGTCGTGTTTGAAGCCAAGCGATGGTGATGGGAAGCCTTTGGGGTTGATCCATCCTTAGCCATTTGCTCAGAGAGAGGCCAAGCCAGGTTGGGCTCTTACCAGCTCTGCAGAGAGTGGAACATTTTGGGAGCTGAAGAGGGGAAATTAAAGGGTGGGGCATTTAGCATGGGTGGCTGGCCCGAGAGCTGCTCCAGAGCGGCTTTCCCAGGCAGGAGGGGAGCAGGGCTGGGGGTACCACTGCCCCGTGGTGGAAGAATGGCTTTCCTCTGGGTTTGGTTTCTGGACTCATTGTACCATTTCCCATCTTGCAGCCCATCACTGGGAGGCCCAAATGCTCTGTAATTACAGCTTGATGGTGCATTTCCAGCCCGTAGGGTGTCCTGAGCAGGGGATTTAATCTGCTGATCCATCTCTCATTCAGAGCCCCTCAGGGGCCCTTTGAAAATTGCTTTGACTGAAAGGTGGAGTGATTTGTCTAAACTAGCCCCTCTTTTCTGTGTTCGAGTATGTATGTATAGTGCCCTAGGCTCTCACCGACCTTCAGTTAATCTCTGTCACAAAAACCTGCTTGTGGGAAGCAGTGAGCCATGCGCTTGTGCCCGGGGCAGTGTGACATGGAGAGGGCTCCTACTCGCCCATCCTGGCTTCGGCCCGTCGAGCTCTTTCCTCATCCCTATTTGTAACGTCCCAAGGCAGCCGTGGAGGGAGCCGTTTGCCCCGTGAAAGAGGGATCCTGGGAAGGTTTTACTCGGGGATGCTCAGTGTGGTCCGGATCAGCATGGCTGCTGGGACAAGGAGGAGGGTCAGGGGGATTTTGGCCCCGAGGGAGCTGCAGGTGTGGGGATGTGCAGGAGGCAAGGAGTAGGTCAGGGTTGGGCTGGAGAGGGGTGGAGCAACTCACTTGCCTGGCCCATGTTTGCTCTCCAGGCTGGGTTTGCCTCCTTGCCAAGGGGGCTTGGTCAGGGACCACAGCAGGGAGCTGGGCTGGCTTCGTGTCCTGGGTGGGAAGAACTCATCTTCCTGCTCCTGTCCTGTGCCACAGGGCTGCAACCATAAGAGCAGGTTGAAGGGAGAGGGAAGGGACCCCACTGGGGCTCATCCGATGGTATCCAGTCCTTACACTTGCTGTGTGGTTGTGGCACCAGTGGTTGCATCACTTCATGTCTAGCAATGTTTCCTCCAGCCGTCGGTCTACACTGGGGACAGAGAGCACAAATGAGGGTCTGGGATGTGGGGGTCTCTTTAGGGGAAGCTACAGGGAACAAGTGAGAGTCTGTGCATCTTGAGGGCACCTGGAATGGGGACAGACAAGAATGGTCCAGCTCAGCCACAGCCACAATGGTCCAGCTCAGCCTTTTGGTGACCATCAAGATGTGGGGTTGTGGTCCTTGCTGCAATATAATGGTCCACTTCAGTGACACAGGGAAAGGACACCCCGAAGTTATCCCCCATGGTCCCTGCTGAGAGGGCCACCCTGTCATTGGTACTGTTCCTCTGGGCACAGAGCTGATGGAGGCAGGAACCACCCCTTGGCCCTTGTCCCCTGCTCCATCTTGTCCTTTCTCCCAGATGGAGCCCGGGGAGGTGACGACAGTCCTCGACAATGAGCTGGAGGTCCCGGTCAGCAGTGGCCCCAGCGGGGACTTTGAGATCCGGGAGGAGGAAGAGACGACTCGTCCCGAGCTGGGTAACGAGGTGATGGCTGTGGTGACGCCGCCGTCGGGACCTGGGCTGGGCAAGAACATGGAGCCAGGGCTGATTGACAACACGATAGACTCCGGTAACTCAGCCGCTCAGCTGCCCCAGAAAAACATCTTGGAGAGGAAAGAAGTGTTGATAGGTGAGACTGGAGGCTGTGGCCTTGAGGGGGAAGAGTTGGTGTGTTTGGGGGGGAGAGGCAGCTGGGTTGTTCATGCCCCACGAGAGGGGTTGGTCTTTGGCAACGTATGGGATAGCATTGAGCCTGGGATAACCCACACTCACCTGCCAAAACAGCTCCAGGGCCTGTGCTGGGGGGTTCCCAGGGGTCGTCATGTCTTTGCCGGGAGAGTGCAGAGCTGTGCACAGTTTGCTTTTGCTAAGATGGGTTTCTGGGAAAAAAATAAGATGTTAGTGGAAAGATGTGCTACGGTGCTGGGTGAATATTACCCGGCCAGCTCTGACTGCAGGGGAGGAGAGGTGTGCCCTGGGAAGGACACTTGTCCCAGCCAGGGGGACATCAGAGATGGGGCAGAGGTGTCAGGGTCCCACTGGGACCCCAGCTAAAAGGAGCTGGGGTTGATGGCACGGCAAAACAGTGATTGTGCTGTTGGTCTTCAGCTGAGCATGGTGGATGCTGGCAGGCACCCAAATCAGCAGCTCTTTGGGGGACTTTCTGCACCTTCCTTGAATGAGGTCACAACCTGTGCAGGGCTCTCTCTGTGCCTGGGCTGCCTCGTGCCAGTCCGTCACCCACTGTGCAGCTGCAGAGTAGATGCCTTTGGGTCCCACCCCACCCTTCAGCATCGCTGCACTTGGGAGTTTGGTGAAGCTCCTCAAATCACACAACTGCATTAGCCCCTCACCCTCATTGTCAGTTTTCTTAATGATTGATTTCAGGAGGGAAGTTGCTCGCAAATTTGCAAAGCCCAAACCCAAGCTGGAATCTGAAATGATCCCCCCCAGATTATTTGTGCTGAAAGCCAGGCTGGGGCTGTGGGGCGGCACTGACGGCCGTGTCACTTTTCTGTGTTGCAGCGGTGATCGTCGGTGGCGTGGTGGGAGCCCTCTTCGCTGCCTTCCTGGTCATGCTGCTCATCTACCGGATGAAGAAGAAGGACGAGGGCAGTTACACGCTGGAGGAGCCCAAGCAAGCCAACGTGACATACCAGAAGCCTGACAAGCAGGAGGAGTTCTATGCGTAGAAGGAGAGCCCGGCGTGCCTCGCTTCCTCCCTCCCCGCTCCAAACTCTCCCTCCTCCTTCTCTCTCTCTCTCTCTCTCTCTCTCTCTCTCTCTCTCTCTCTCTCTCTCTCTCTTTTTTGGATCAGACTGTGAATTTAAAAAGCAAAACCCGCAACAGCTAAAGGAGAAAACACATCTTTGGCATGGGGAAAAATCAAGCGCCCAGAGCATCGCCGAGTTCAGACCGAGTACCGCTGGCCTTTCTGCAGCGGGAGGGACAGGGCAAGGAGCCAAGGCCAAGGACCCTGTGCCTGGGGAGCACCCTGGCAAGTGCGGGACAGGGCAGTCAGGCTTCCAACAGCGGCTGGAGATCACTGGGCTTTTCCCACCAACACAACGGACTCTGGGATCTGGACACCTTCTACCAGCCCTGGGGCACAGGGGGGTTGGTTTGGATTTATCTTTTTTTTTTTTTTTCCCCTTCAGAAAGGAGAGAGGTTTCTTTCCCTCTCTTTTGTTTTTATTTTTTATTTTCTTTTTGAATGGGGTTGGTTGCTTTGCAGGACTTACCTTGCTCCTTGCTTCTGTTTGAAGAGAGGACACGACTCTCAAATACGCTTCGAACCTTGAAAATAAGCACAAGGGGCTGGAATACCTGGTGCCCCGGGGTTTGCTCTTGGAGTGGGGAAAAACAAACAAACAAAAACAAACAAACATGGCCAGTACGCTGGAAACGATCTCTTCAGATCAACTCTTCAGAGAGTTTGTGGAGCAGTAAGAAGCTGCATTGGGGTATCTCATGCTGCTCCCCTTCTGCCACCACCTCGCTTCACTGCAATGCTGTTCACAGCCAGAGACCTTAAATCTATAGAAACCGCGTGTCACCAGCTGCTGAGGGGTTTGGTTGAGAAGGGACTTTGCTTTTCCTGGGTTTTCACTGTGACCAATAAAACTCAGCTTGCGCAGTACGACCGACGGCACTGGTTTTAAAATGGAGCGGGACATCGCTTGGTAGGGAGTTGGCAGGGAGAGGAGTTGGAAATGGAGAAGATAAATCATCTCCCCAGTTCCTCTGGAGGGGATAACAAAGCTCTACAAGGTGTGAGACACAGCTTAAGAGAAGAAATGCAAAGCAGAGGCAATACTCTGTCTCCTCGGGGGGTCGGGGCAGGGGTCCCTGCTGGGCCAGATTGGCTTTCCACCTGTCAGCCCTAGGGTAGCTTGGCTGCTACCTATATTTTTCAAGACCCAGGATTGATGGTTTGTGTTTCTTTTGTTGTTGCTTAAATTCCAGTGTCACCCTAGGGCACCCAGGAGCCTGAGAGCAATAGATCCTGGAAGCCATCATCACCCGAGTGCAGTGGTTTCCTCTCTGAGGCTCCCTAAGGTGCAGAGCAGCAGGGCCTGATCCAGAGCCCAGCTGTGCCTTCTAGAAAGGCTAGATTTTTTTGGAGCAAGCTCTCTGCACAGAAAAGTCAATTAGATATTTCAATGAGTTGGCTTTTAATTAGCTAAAGCGCTGCTTGGGATGCAGTCAGGGAGCTTTGTTTTCACGATGGTTGCGATCTCAATGGTGTCCCATGGAGACCTTGGCTTTGCTCTTAGAGCAAGTTAAACAGGAAAATGGAAAACAAAAAAAATCATGAATTAAACCTGCACAGACACAGTGACACTTTGTTCCCTTGGGGTGTTAGTGGATATAGGGATTTATGACCCTGATGGAGGCTACAAGACAGCAGCGCTTCTTTATGTTAGGAATTTGAGAGGCCAAATGCATATTTTATATATATATATAAACACACACACACATACATACACAGTTTTATATATATATATATATATATGAAATGAAATCCCTGTAAATTTTCATTGCACTGCATATGATGGCTGGATGGGACTTTGTGGTTGTGACCATGGGAGGTTTGGGCTACGCTCCCCTGGGGTGCGCAGTGCAGGGTCTGCGACCCAAAACGCCAACCTGGTTTTACTACAGGGTAGGGAGCAGATTCCCTGTGCGTTGGCCAGCTCTCTAAAATCCCCATTTTAGAGATGCCAGCCTCAAAGTCATCATTGTTTCAGTTCTTTCAGTTTGAAGAAGACAGTCCTCTTGAATGTGATGGTGATGCTGAAAGGCAGAGGGTGTAGCATGTGTGTGTGTGTGTCCAGTTCTTGGGTCCATTCTGGCTCCGGAGGATGAGGATGCTGTGAAGGGGGACCAAGAAGAAGGCTGGTGCCAACCAGGCTCCAAGAGCCACTTTCTCTGACCTGCTCAAAGGGGAGTTTCAACTCATGGGTTCAATGGTTTGGGTTTTTTTTGGTCCTGTTGGGACTACACAGAGGGCCCTGGCTGTTGGGGAGTGGCAGAAATCAAGCCTCCTCGTGATTTAATGAGTTGGGCATGATAAGTATCAAGGCCACCAAAAATCACCATCTTTTGGAAGAATGTGAACTTAATCTTTCGAGCTTGCATTAAAAAAAAAAAAACCAACAACCCTTCCAGCTTAATCTTTTAAATTCTGCCTTTCTTAGCTGCTTCCCTAATCTTCTTCATTCCATTTTTTTCCCATTTAATAGTCTGAATTTTTATAATGCAATTTTTTTATTCACTCAAGCTTAACCTCAGTTCTCTCAGCTGGTGTTAAGTTGTAATCCTGGCACTTAAATCTGTTACAGATTCAGAAGTGAGGAAGACCGGGAGGGTGAGAGGAGGCTGGGCAGCACTTTCTCTAGCAGTAATTAAAAGTACAAGAAAACCACATGCAAAAAAAGGTGAAGGCAATTAAACTGGTAATCAGAACGGGCCAAAGTCTTAATTTGTTGTATGACTGCTGCTTCTATGTGTTTGCTGTGTTGCTCTCTGCCTGGAGAGGGGATGTGAGCTCAAAGAGACTGTTTTTTGGTCTTGGAGCTCACCTTTTTCTGGTGATAAATCATGACAGAGCCTTTCCTGTGGCCTCAGCTCCCCAGGAGCACTGGGTTGGTTGTTGGAACTGGTGTCTGGAATTAAAAAAGCCTTGTCTTGCTGGAGGATGGCTGATCTTGTAGGGTAGGGGGTGGTGGGATGGAGCTGAATGTGGGCTGAATTTCTGGGGGAAAGCCCAGCTCCAAAAAAATTGCAGCTACTATCAGCTCTCTATTACCAGAGCAGTGGGGATGGGTAAAACCCCAGTGAGGCCCAGATGAAGGGTGCTGCCAGGGTCTGTAAGGGGATTGTGGTGGTTGGCAGGTGGCACCAGGTGAACGCGGTGTGCTGCGGGGCCCAGTTGCTCCCTCCCACGGGCATGAGTGTCTCGCTGCACTCTGGGGCTTTTGAGGGATTCCTGGTGTGAAGATGGAAGGGAAAAAGGTGAGAAAGCATGGGGTGGGGGAGGAAGAAAACCATATTTTCTCAGCTGTTGATTTGGCTGCAGAGCAAGTTTTTAGGAAAATTAACTCCAATGAGAGCTTGAGCATCTCCCGCATCATCCCCTCCCAAACCTGCCAGATTTGGCATCACCCTCCTCTGCACAATCTCAGCCCCTTCCCCAGCCCGTGTGTATCCCTCGAAGTGACTTTGTCCATCAGTGGCTGCAGTCTCCCAGCTGGGGCAGTGCCCAGGGGTGCTCATCCAGCTGTGCACCCCTTTTCCACGTCTTTTCTGTGTGTTTGTGTGTGTGTGTGGTACAGTGGAGCTGAAGGACGATTCTTTGCTGTGCCGGTTTTGTAATTTTAGGAGAGCTGCAATTGCAAGGCATGAAAGATGGTGTCGGCTCCTCTCCCAGCTGTGCTGGATTTCAGTCGCTCTCTGCTGTGGTTTGCAGCAGCCAATGCCTTGGAAGAAAAAGATAAAGTAATCAGTGACTCCTGTGCCACATAAGTAAGGAGAAGACAGGACAAGGGGCCAAAGGGAAGGAAGGACTGGAAAACCTGTGTGAGAGCCCAAATGAGGGGCTGGAAATGGGAGGATGGGAAGGGCAGGGAATGAAGGTCAGTGACAGGACCCAGCCTCGGGAGGCAGGTTTTGCAGGGCTGGGAGTGAGTTGCCCCTTTCCTCCAAAAATTTCTGATTTTGGACCTTTCAAAAATAAGCAACAGGATCTTGCACCAAGGGGGGATCTTGCTGCAGGGAAGGAGATGGCACTGGGCTGGGTGTGTGCTGGTTTAGCTCTACATTTCCCATTCCCTCCCAGTTTTGCCTAGTGGGTGCCTAAAATCCCTGGGTGGGAGCTGCTTTGCTCCACGAGAGCCTTGGCTCCCGATCTCCAGACTCACAATTCAGAGCTATCCGACCTCTGCCATAAGTCACCAGCACGGAGGCTTTAACAGGAACAAAACCCTTAGCTAAAAACAAGAATGGACTTTTTTTATCATTCCCCCCACCCCGCCCCAAATCATTTTATGATTGTAAGCATTTCTGGGCTTGGAGGTTTTCTACAAGGCTCTGGCAGCTCCTGAAGGGGCATGGAGTTTTCAGCACTGAAAGGTTTATTGGAATAACTGGCATCTCACCGGGCACCTCGCCAGCTGCTCGGCCGGGCTGGAGCCTGCGGTGACAGGGATGGGTGTGTCGTGCGTGTATGTATGTATATATATGTGTATGTAATTAATATATATGTATATATGTATATACGCGTGTGTGCGAAGCACGCACGTGTGCACAGGTTCATTGTAATCTCTGCACCTAATGGGGGGTGGTTCTCAGCCAGCATTGTGTGCTGGACTCTGCAGCCCTCGGACCCCGACCTCTTGCCACGGGCTGCAGGATCGGGCCCCACGCTGCCGGCTCCTTCCTGCCCTCCCGCTCTTTGCCCCCTCATAGCAACGGCCTGATCCTGGCCACCTCGGCGCTGGGTCGGGGTCTGCCAGGGTTGGCGATATGGAGCTTTTTGCCGATGGCCGCATCCCTGGCCGGAGCTGGAATGGAGCCCAGGATGCTGGGAGGCAGCCACAGCCCCGCCGAGGCTCCGGGCGCGCTCTGGTTTGTCCCACGTACCTTGTGCCTGCAGCTCCGTGGACAGACCCACACCCAGTCTCTATAGAGAAGTTAGTCTGGAGTGTACAAACTTTATTTTTTTTTTCCTGTTTTCGTTTTTTTTTACTATTATTTTTATTTTTGGGAAAAGTCACCCTAAGAGACACCTGTGTGATGCCCAGATGGATTTTTTTAACCCCACATTCCAGACAGCTCATCCACTGCATCTCCAAAGACCTCAAGGGTACCAGTGACTTTATGTGCATAAGCTACCCCTGTTCTGGGTCCCCCTGGTCTAAGTCATTAAAGTACAGCTGACAATCAAACCAGACAGAACTGCTGACTTTAGAAAAATATATATCCATTGCAGTTTGATAGAACTACTTTTTAAAATCACATGCTTATCTCTCACTAACGCTCACCACCATGTCTCCAGGATAAATCGCCACCCATTGGTTCTTCTGTAAATAAACATGAAACATTCTTGTATAAATTAAACAAACAAATACGTTGATATATGTCCAAAAAAATATCCCTTTCCAGAAGATTTAAACCGTTCAGAGAAAAAGAAAAGCCCAACAATTGAGCCCCACTTCACTTTTTCTTTGGAGCTGGTTTAAATTCCCAATAGGAGAATGAAAAATCTTTAACAGAAGAAACTACAAGTGTTTTACCTTTCAACAAATATAGGAGGGAAAAAAAAATGCATGTAAATATTTTTAATAGGAAACATATCTTAAACAGAAAGTTTTTTTGTATGTACATAACTCTTCTAGAGTTTAGTACTTAAATTGCTTCATAGTGTCTGTTAAAAAACGAAAATAAAATAAAATGTTTGTTAATTGTTTTTGTTCTTACTCAATGGCCAAAACTTTAAAAATAATAAAAAAGACTATAAAAATAATCTTTGCCAATGGATCTAGCACTGTAATGGTACTGTCTATTTTTTTTAATTATTTCTGTGCTGTGCCCATTTATAAAAGGAGAAGAAAAAAATAAAGTCATTTAAACATTGTCTTTGCTTGCTTTCTTGCTGCGGACTGCCAGTCCCCGGGTTTTTGTCGTGCTGGCACGCAATGAAGGTGAAGGGAGAAGATCTCACTTGTTCTTGGGGCTCGATACCATCGGGCGAGTGATGGTGGTTAATTAATGGTCTCCATGGCAACTCTGCGGAGATGCTGAGGAGCCGGCGGCGGCGTGGACCACCCTAGCGCAGCCCGATCGCGCCTGTGCTGGACCGTGGGGGAGTTTTGGATGCAGGGGGGGCTGCCAGCGATGCAGGAGTGTCTGACAGCACGGAGAGCCACGGAGCATTTCGGCTGAGCCCTCATGTCCCCTGGGTCTGCGAGTGTCACCACCAAGCTGGAGAAGATGCCCAAGGCGTAAGAGCCGTCCCCTCCCAGGCGGGAGGTGGAAGCAGCCCGGGCTGCTGGCCTGGGGTCCCACTCTCGCAGCTCTCCTTTCCAAAGCCATTCCTGGAAGTGAACATGGTGAGAGATTTGGCAGCGATGCTGTTGGCCTCTGGAAGGAGATACTTGGATGTATTTAACCGGCTCCTGCGTTGCAGAGGCCAGACCTCCGTGGTGCACTCTGACTCGCATGGCTTGTACGGCCTCGTGCTGTCTGGAGTCAGCCGTGGCCAGGCCCCAGGAGGTTCCAGCAGTATTTCCCCGGCCCCACAGGCTGGACACGCTCCGTGTTAGACACCAGGAAATCTTCACCCAGCCCCGGTGGTGTTGTACTGCTGGCAGGAATTTCAGGGAATGTGACTTCGTTTGGATTTGGTGTACGTTTTTTGAAGTGTTGCTGGTTTTTGTTACTAGTCTGGATGCTGCTGCCCGTATAAATCTCTGGCTGAAGGTTCTCATGCTCCATCACTCAGTGCTTCATCCACTAAAAGAGGGTTAAACTGCTGCCCTGCGTAACCCAACGCTCAGCCCTTAGCGAGGGCCGCAGACAGCTACGCTGGACAGACCCTGTCCTTTGAGGCCAGGCAGCTCAGAAGTACCTGCTGGATGGTGGTAGCAGATGGAGCCCCAAATCATCTCCCTTTTTACCCCAACGATCCTCTCTCAGCCCAGGCAGGTCCCAATTGCCCCCAGCCCCTATGTACCTCCAGGACTGCTCTCGACAGCAGCTCTCACTGCCTACAGAAGCATCTCAGTTTTACCAGGGCCACCCATTCAGGTTTTCAAGCTTGTCCCAGCCCCAGCAATAATGATTTCACTGTGCTGGCGGTCAGACTGCTCGTTCGCTTGGCAGCAGCTGCAGCCAGCTGCCGTTACAAGTGGAGTGAATAACTGCTTGCAGTGAGGTGTTGGTATTCAGGCTGGAGGCTTGAAACAGCCTCTAATTATATCCCCATCCCCATTTCTTGTATATTTTACTTTCCCCCAACGGCTGTTACGGGAATGTTCCCTTCCCACAGCACCGTTGCAGACCCCCAGGATTTGGTAGGATAACCCCAAATGGTCCAAGTGTTTGGGTTTTTTTTGCAGCAAAAGGGGCTCCCTGTGACTCACCTGTTATAAATCTCCATAACATGAGCAGAACATCCAAAAATAACACTGTAATTGAGATTTCACCTTGCAAATTAATGAGCGAAA